CAGGGTGTGAGTTCATGAATCTCCTTCCCTCATTATAGACGCCATCTCCCCTCCAGCCCTGCAGCTGCAGTCACTTCCCACCTTCACTTTCTCTGGATCTATTCATATGATCTGGAGAGGCCACAAGGCCCACCTTCCTTGGGAACCCTCAAACTTTTGTTCTGTGGCCCCTAAGGGCTTTTCCGCCCATGAAATATGCATCACCTGCAAGGGAGACTCCTTTTGTAGAGAAGGGAGTGAGAATTCTATTCCCCTGAGTTGGCAATAATACGGGCCCCAGGGCATTACTCAATGCCTGAGGTCGGCACTGGAGCCTAGGGCAGGAGGGCCGGGCATACACAGCGGTGATGATGGGTGGGAGGCTCAAGGGCAGAAGCTGGCAAGCAGCACCCTCGGGGGCAGATTCAATGGTACTCATCGCTCAACCTTAGCCTCCCCTGGCTTCCCAACCTTGAAGCCAGCTCCAAGGCCGACTGTTCCTCATCAAGGGAGGCTCAGGCCCAGCTTGAATTTCTAGGGTTCAAACTGATTTCATCTGCAAAGCCGCCTGGTTTCATTCTGACCATGACTTCACTGTGTCCGTACGATGATCTTCCTCTCTGTCTTCTTTGAAATTAACGTTGATTCATCGTGAGTGTTCAAAAAGACACCTACTGTGTGCAGCCAATGGTGAAAACAGGAATCACAGTAACCTGCATTTGCACAGCAGTATGAGTCACTTCAGCCAGAGAGACCAAGCTGAATACTGGGTTCCTAGTCACAGTTTTGGCCAGGGTCTCACCTTTCCCTTCTGCAACCCCAAAATCCACACCCACTGAGGCTGTTGGACTCCTCAGAAGGTATTTCTACTTCCTGAAAGGCAAAGTCCGGAGCAGTTTTATCTGCTGGTAAGATTTGAGCAGAGTCACATTAACACTTAATGGTAGCTTTGGGACAAGAGTCCAGGAGCCCGGCTCCTGAGCCAGAGACTCTTCCTCCTCCCCTTGAGTGGGTGGGGGTAGCAGGAGCAATGTAGGGAACGGACTTTCTTCTGAATCTGAGACTTATTCTTCTGGGCTAAGAAAGATGCATCCCTGGACAGATGACGATGCCTTCTCAGTCCCAGAGTGTAGAAAGGATCCCTTGAAGCCCCGATCAACACTTGTCAGCTGTGTGACCTGGGGCGGGTTGCTTAGCCACTCTGTGCCTTGTTCTTCTTATCTGTAAGATGGGGATACCATCCTTCCTGACATCATAGGGTTGTAATGAGAGTTTTGTGGCACACTTAGAGCCGCGAGGGGCATATAGGTAAGTGCTAGGTATGTGTAGCACTGTTACTAACATGTGGTCCTTCGCTCCTCTACCAAACTGAGGACAGCAGTTGAGGTTGTCCTGTGCTGGGTCCCCAGAAGGGTTCCTGGAAGGACCTCAGGAGATGTTATGTGGTAGATGGATTGGCAGGCAATAGAACACACGGTTGAATAAATCCAATTTATTAGAATTATTCGAATTCAGTTACCCTTTTCATTCAAAGATTTGAGGGGAAAAAATCAGACACTTAATGCATAGAATTTTCCCTTCAGACATTGTGAGGGCAGATGTGACAATAGGAATCTCCCGAGTGTGAGCATGGGTACTGTGCCCACTGCAATGTTGGTGGGCACCTGCCCTCCTAGACTTGTCTTAGCTACATACAAGGGTCCTAGAGCTTGTGGGAGCTTTTCCGAAGGTCACCCCTGCCTTACCAGCAATAACAGCTACCATTAATTCAGTCGCTATTAGGTGCCACGTGGCTCACATGCATTACCTTTATCTTTACAGTAACCTCTAAGGCAGGTATTATTACCCTTGCTTTTCAGATACGGAAACAGGCTTACAGAAATCAGTAACTGGCCTAAAGCTGCTTAACCAGTGAGAGCAGCGCCAGGACTCATCCTGGCCAGTTTGATCTAAAGCCCGTGCTCAGAGTTCAGAAGGTAGAAGCCTGGTATTTTTCCTGGGAAGTGGGGCTAGTTGCCTCTGGAAACATCTTCCCATGAGTCCACAGCATTGCAAATACCCAGTTATATTCAGGGAACTGGGAAGAACTAGGCTCCTCGCCCAACTCCGGCCCCCAGGAGATCCTGTAACAATCATGACTCATAAAAAAGTTCGGGACACCTGCCCAGCCAAGAAAGTCCTCCTATATCAACCCAACGAGACCCTGGTGAATTCGACCAGCGGTGTGACCCTGAGCAGCTGCTCAGCCTCTCTGAGCATGTTTTCGCTTCTGTTCTGTAAACAGGAACAGTAATAGCTCCTCGCAGGTGTGAGGATGACATGAGATAGGGAAAGCAGAGCATGCCACAAAGCTCCAGGCATCAGAGGGCACTTAATCCATGCTAGCCCTTCCTTGTCCACCTGTTTCTCTTCTTTAAGACTCTCGACAAAGTGATGCCACATTGAGGACTCAGCTTGCTCAGCCCATGTCAAAAAGCTCTGTGAGCTTTTTTCTTCATGAAACTGGATGCAGACAGGTGGCTGGGGAGCAACAGACGTTTCCAAACCAGGGTCAGGGAGGATGGCATGGAGGGCAGTGGGAGGCTCTGGGGCCCACGGATAGTACAGCCTCATTCAGGACAGGTTAACAGGCAAGTAGGGCTGGAATCCCGCCTGCACAGCTCAACAGCCACCCAGAGCATGAAGCATCATTTTCTAACCCAGCAAGGTGCCATGTGGGCTCATGGGCACAGGGCCTGGCTGCCCCTTCTGCCATCAACGTTGAAACTATATCCATCAAGATTCTGAAAGAATTGTTTATGTTGAATATGGGGTCTGGAGTGTTCACTATGTTTACAGTGGGGTTGGTGAGGTTATCCTTCTAGAAATATTTACCGGTTATGTGACAGAAAAGGAGATCGTAAGATTTCCTCCTTGGTTTCTTGTTGTTGTTTTGGGTTTTTTTTTTTGTTTGTTTGTTTGTTTTTTGAGATAGGGTCTGGGTCTGCCACTCAGCCAGGTGCAGTGGTGCAGTCACAGCTCACTGCAGCCTCCACCTCCTGGGCTCAACCCCTACCTCAGCCTCCAGAGTAGCTGGGACTACAGTCGTGCATCACCACGTCCAATAAACTGTTTTTATTTTTAGTAGAGATAGGGTCTCCACTAAAGTATGCAGAACCCAATGAAAGATGAACATGATATTTAATGAGAGATTTTTTTCAAGTTAGTGATAAAACGATGGTCTGCTTAACGAATGCAGAATAAATGGACACTGCTCATTATTGGTCTATAATTAAAAAAGAACCTATTTGAAACCCATTGACAAAACTGAGTTCCTAAAGGGAAATGTAGGGGTGAGTAAGACTTAAACAAGCCTAGAAACACAAGTTTCCCAAGCTGGTCACAAATTCCTGGGCTCAAGCGATCTCCCACCTCGCCTCTGAGGTGCTGGGATTACAGGGGTGAGCTACCACACCCGGCCCCTGTTTGTTTTTCAAAATACATATTTATCCTGGATATTTAAAGGCAGAGTTTCCTGAAGGGTGTTCTATTTGATGTTAGTAGGCTTAGGGCAATTTATTTTTAAGTGTTCTGTGACCCGATTGGGAATTTGGGGGTTAAACACAAACAGGATTCTTTACTCAAAGGGCTTCCCAGGGCCTCTGACGCTAATGTGCCCTCCAAGGGCTAATGCTAATGTGGGTATCCCAGGATGGGCAGAGGGGCATGTGGGGAGCTGTATTTCTCAACTTATGGAGCCCTCAGGGGAAAGGTTTAAGCACCCACCTTGCCTGGAGGCAGGAGGATGAGTGAGGATGCCACAAGCTAATGAATGAATTCTGGCTTTCTGAGTCCTTGGCTTCCTTACAAATGTTCCCAGCCTTTGGCAGCAGCGGGTAGAGGGGAGGCTATGGAAGCAGTCTCCCTGCTGCTGCCCAAAAGCAACATTATGGACCAGTGAACTCTCAGAAATCTCTCAGAGTGGTAGGAGAAGACAACTATGGAATCACGTTCCCCAGTACCTCCTCCAGAGCCATGGGTTCCCTGTTGAAAGAGACATGTTCAGCCAGTTTCTGACCTCAGACCCCCAGCTCTGGTTCCAGTCCCAGCAAAGAAAATGAGAAAAGCTGGAAAGGTAGAATCATGTTGTCTGCTTCTTCAAGTTTACATCGGCCTTTGTCTCCCCAGGGCTTCCCACCAGTGTCAATCAACAAACACTTACTGAGTTTCTACTGTGTGTCTCAAAGAAGGATGAGACCAGAGTTCTTGGGCTCACAGTTTACAGCCTGGGTTGGGGGCAGTGACAGGAAGAACCCTGGGGAGAGGACCCTCAGGCTGCCTGTTGCCCACACAGAGTATAAGCCTGAGGAGAGTGGGGAGACAGGGCCCTGGAGAACGCTGGGCACCAGGGAGAGGCCTGGGAGAGATGGGAAGGGGATGAGTATAAAACCACTGACAGCAGGTTATGATAATGGGCCATCCCCGGGGGTGTGGACAGTGAGACCCTCTGGCAACAGGGACAACAAGGCGCTAATACTGCTGGGGTAAACACTAATGCTGCACACCTAGAAGCAGCAAGGCCTTGCAAAGGAGGCCCGGGAGACCCCCGCTAGCAATGCACCCTCTCTGGTGCCAGTCAGAATTGAGGATTAGAAAGTTATTTGCACAATAACTGTGCACGGTACAACTGAGCACAGACTGCAGACGTAAGAGCTCAGTGTAGTTTTGCATCATGAAGAAAGCTCTTGGGGGAAACAGCAGTCACTTCTTGCCAAGCTCATCTGCTCTGTTGTTTCCCAGGGCAAAATAAACTAGAGTACAGCTGGTGATGAATGGGTTGCTGGGGGCGAGGAGTGGCTGCTGTCCCAGAGAGGAACCCGGGCCCCTTAAAAAGGCGGACAGCGTTGCCTGCATCTAATAGTCTGTGCCTACTCGAGGCAATCAATGGGTTCATTCAGCTAGCCATGGGGGCTAAGAATGAAGGGAAAGCTCTTCCACTGTTTCGGAGCCACATTTTTATAGTAAGTTGCCTAACGCTGATGCAATGTGCTATTTTTTATTCAAACAAAGTACATCTAATTGTATTAATACATATTTTATGTATTGGTACATAGTGAAAGTTTAGGTGATATGAATTGTTTCACAAACACAGGGAGAACATTAGTAGATGTTGACAGAAAACTCAGTAGCTTTTCCTAAAGGGTATTCTCTTACCCTGAATTTTCCAGAAGACCTAGGGACCCACAGTCCCCAAAGGGAGCTGTCACAGGAAGTGATGACTTTGACACCCGTGGGGTCAGCATGGGAATTTCATCCTTGGGCAGCCGCCATTGCTTCTCACCACCACACGGTGGCGCCATTGACAGCTGGTTCTGCCCAGTCCCATGAACTTAGCGGATGTGACAGATGCTCTTGGGGCCTCTGCTCAGGTTTTCTAAGCTCAGGCAAGGGGGCTTCTGCTGCTTGAATCAGTCTGATGGTACTCCAGTCCTCATCTTCCCAGCAGCAGAAACCCATGGGCCACCCTCCAAGCACATCTTCAAGGGGATGCTACCCTCCCAAAAGATGACCAGGGTGACCTGCAGTACTTCTCTTATCAGAACAGAAGCTAAATAACAGCATCATAATTTGAATCTTCCGTGGGACACCCCCTCCAGGAATTATAATTATCATTCCTTTCCAGCAGGAATTAAAATTTACTACCATCCTATGATTATCATCACCATTATTATTATTTCACTACAATGCTTGTTTACTGCTCTAGCCTAGTTCCCAGGGCAGTCCCAGGAAACACAGGGCCCTCTGCATACATTTACTGAATGAAAATCATGCTGCTTAATGGTTATGTGCTACATTGTGCCCCTCGGCTTTTGTACTCAGTGATGGAAGCAGAACACAGTTCCCTTGCAGGTGTGTACTCACCTATGCTACCTGGCAGGTAGATTGTACAGTTTTTTCGTGTTTTTTTTGAGATGGAGTCTCGCTCTGTCACCCAGGCTGGAGTGCAGTGGCACAATCTCAGCTCACTGCAACCTCTGTCTCCTAGGTTCAAACGATTCTGTGCCTCAACCTCCCTAGTAGCTGGGATTACAGGCACATGTCACCACTCCTGGATAATTTTCGTATTTTTAACAGAGACAGGGTTTCACCATGTTGGCCAGGCTGGCTTCAAACTCCTGATCTCAAGTGATCCACCTGCTTCGGCCTCCCAAAGTGCTGGGATTATAGGCATGAGCCACTGCGCCTGGCCTATATGTTCTATTTTTTTTTTTTTTTTTTTTTTGAGACAGGGTCTTACTCTGTTGCCCAGGCTGGAGTGCACTGGTGCAGTCTTGGCTCACTGCAACATTTGCCTCCTGGGCTCAAGCCATCCTCCCACCTCAGCCTCCGTCTGAGTAGCTAAGACCACAGACACATGCCACTGCACCCCGCTAATTTTTTAAATTTTTTTGTAAAGACAGAGTTTTGCCATGTTGCCTAGGCTGGCCTCAAACTTCTGGGCTCAAGTGATCCTCCCTCCTTTGCCTCCCGAAGTGCTGGGATTACAGGCGTGAGCCACCAGCCCTGGCCTATCAGCTCTTTTCTAACAGTGAAGACAGAATTGGCTCAAGAATACATAGTCCAGCTGTGAGATTTCTTGTTCGCATCGCCTTTCTGAATGGCTGTATGAAAACATATAAACAGTACATGAGGAAAGTAAACGTTATAAATATTGAATCGACATGGACAGATAGCAGCTTGTATTTGTCAAAATTGTCATAAACTTCTGACTTCTATCGAATTAAATGTAAATAATTAAGTCAAGCTCAGGTGTGGTGTCTTACGCACTTTGGGAGGCTGAGGCAGGCAGACCACCAGGTCAAGAGATCAAGACCATCTTGGCCAACAGGGTGAAACCCCATCTCTACTAAAAATACAAAAATTAGCTGGGCATGGTGGCGCGAGCCTGTTGTCCCAGCTACTCAGGAGGCTGAGGCAGGAAAATCCCTTGAAGCCGGGAGGAGGAGGATGCAGTGAGCCAAGATCACATCACTACACTCCAGCCTGGTGACAGAGTGAGACTCCATCTCAAAAAAAATATTAAATCAAATATGAATAGACAGGAATCATATGGGAGGGTACAATCTGGGTCCCAAATTAGTATAATAAAAGAGCACTGCTGGAAAATAATTTTGAGCTCCCATTATGCGCCTAGCACTGAGCCAGGGACTGATAGGCATTACCTGAGAAATAAAAGCCCTAGCCCCTGCCTTCCGGCTGCTTACTTACATTCTGGTTGAAGACTTAGAATGCACAACCCACGTTGGAAGCTGGAGAGCTTGGGCAGTCAGGATGGGCAGGAGCTGGAATCGAGGATGGCCGGACTCTGGGGTAAAGCAGAGAGATGTAGAGAGGGCCCCCCAGACCAAAGCCAGCATCAGCCAAGTGTGAGATCAGGAGAGCAAAGAGTTCCAGAGAAGACTGACCTGATAGACTTGAGGGTCTGTTTGGGAGACGTTTTCTAGAACCTTCTCTTGAAAGAAACGGGGAGCCTTTGAAGGCCATTGAGAAGGGGAGGGATATGTGAATTTGTCCTGAATTCTCAGACATTTGGTTTCACTTGTGTGTGTGTGTTGGGGGGGTGGGTTTGTGGGTGGAATTTTGCTGTCATCCGAGCTGAAGTGCAGTAGCATGATCTTGGTTCACTGCAACCTCCACCTCCTGTCTTCAGGCGATTCTACTGTCTCAGCCTCCCAAGTAGCTGGGATTACAGGAGCCCACCAGCCTACCCAGCTAGATTTTGTATTTTTAGTAGAGACGGGGTTTCAACCATGCTGGCCAGACTGGTCTCAAACTTCTGCCCTCAAGTGATCCACCCACCTCAGACTCCCAAAGTGCTGGGATTATAGGCATGAGCCACTGGGCCCGGCCTGGTTTCACTTTTGAGAGCATATCTAAGTCTGTGATGCTTAGAATCGTTGATTTTTCTTGGTCCTCATTTAGTGTGGAGGACAAAGCCAGCTGGAAACAGACTCAGGGCTTGCAAAAAGGACAGAGGTGAGAGAGTGCAGGAGACATTCTCAGGAATCTGACTTTGCCGCCTGTCAGGGAGAGAGCCAGCCCTTTCTGTCTCTTGGGGAGGCTGTGCCCAGTGGCCAGGGTGTCACGCTGCCCATCACTCATTCACTTGCTGAGTCCTGAGCTTTTTTTATAAAGAAGAGAAAAATAATAGTTCAATAAGTGCTAAGATGGCACTTATGGGACACTGCAGACACACACAAGAGGGGGGAGTGGGATCAGAGGCTTCCTAGACAAAATGGCACCTCACTTGGATCAGATAACCACATGCAATGAAGCTTGGTGGCACCTAAACTCAACACAGACCAATTATTTCTGAAATAATAGCTTCCTAAAGCCTATGATAGGCTACGTGTAATCAGTTCCAACCTGACAAGCCCAGCTTTCTGCCTAATCCTCTCTCGGTTATTCCACACGGATCTGTGGAGCATCCATTACTTGACAGGGGCGGGCTAAGCTTGGGGCATGCAGCTGACAGAACAGATGCCTCCATTAGGTGCCATGGAGAAACCCAGGGTGGGGTAAGACGGTGTCTCCTGGACTGTCTGGAAAGGGGCAAGATGGCCTTGATGACTGTCTATGCCAGGCAGAGGGCTTTGAACGACCCAACAACACCTACCTTGTAATCGAAGAGGTATTCCTTTCCATGAAGAGATGGCTTCCCTTGTTGGCTGATGGCTGCTGCTGCTAATTCAATAGACAGTCTCAGACCTCCTTCTAGATGTAAAGCCCTGGAAGGGATCAGGGATGAGACTTAATCCCCACTCTCGAGGGACATGACAAAATTGGGCATTTGTATAAGCTGTGTCCTTTAGGTGTTTTTGCATATATTTCTTCACATCTGATTCTCATATCTTAATAACCTGTCGAGGATGTTTCCCTTGTCGTTCCGTTATGGAAACCACCACTCACAGTGGTCACCCGACTATTAAAGGGGTGGGCACAAGATTTTAAGCCAGATCTGTGCCCCTTCAGCAGCCAACTGTCTCTCCTCCTGAGGCTTACAGTCCCGTTTGTGGGTGAGGATGATACAAAGCAGCCCATAATACAGGCCTTTCCTGACTGATATGTTCACTCTCCTCTCTTCTTTAGAATGGTCCCCAGACTCCCTCCACCGAGCTGGCGGACTCCTAACAGCAGCCATCAGCGTGTGCACCCCTGACAGCCCAGGGATCCCGAGGCCGTGAGGACCAAGAACCAGGCGCTGGGGTGGGGGAGGGGGACATGGAACGTGGGGTTTAGGCCGGAGGTGCCCATGTTGGGCGGCAGGAAGAGGCAGGGCGCACGGGTCTGTGACGGTGCCCATGGGTGCTGTGGAGCGGGGTGACGGCGCCATGAGCTGGATCTGAGAAGGCGGGCACCGACCCCCTGGGATTGGCCACACTTGTCCAGGGCGATGGCTCGTGTTTGGGAGTTCTCAGAAGCCACCCTGAAGGGTGAGAAGAGGCCCTAGCAAGTCCTGGCACCCCGGAGCTGCTGCTAGCTATGTGAGTCGCCCCAGTGGTGGAGACCGTGCAGACCCCAAGCAGGGGCCATTCGCTGGGGACCTCGCTCCGGGTCCAGCTCCACGCGGCACCATGAACAATAACTTCTGCCGGGCGCTGGTGGACCGGAGGCCCCTGGGCTCCCCCGGCTGCATGCAGCTGGGCGTCGTGCCCTCTCCCCGGCAGGCGCCCCTGCCCCGCGCCGAGCCCCTGGGCAACGTGCCCTTCCTACTGTACCCGGGGCCCGCCGAGCCGCCCTACTACGACGCCTACGCGGGGGTGTTCCCCTACGTGCCCTTCCCCGGCGCCTTCGGGGTCTACGATTACCCCTTCGAGCCCGCCTTCATCCAGAAGCGCAACGAGCGCGAGCGGCAGCGCGTCAAGTGCGTCAACGAGGGCTACGCGCGCCTCCGCGGCCACCTCCCCGGCGCCCTGGCAGAGAAGCGGCTCAGCAAGGTGGAGACGCTGCGCGCCGCCATCCGCTACATAAAGTACCTGCAGGAGCTGCTGAGCGCCGCCCCCGACGGCGCGCCGCCCCCCGCTGCCCGCGGCCTCCCCGGCACCGGGCCCTGCCCCGCGCCGCCCGCCGCCCCCCGGCCCGACTGCCCCGGCGACGGCGAGGCCGGGGAGCCCTCCTCCCTGGTGCCGGAGTCATCCGAGTCCTCCTGCTTCTCCCCATCGCCTTTCTTGGAGTCGGAGGAATCCTGCCACTGATCCAGCCTGTGGCCTCCCCCGGCTTGGGGGTTGATCCGCCCGCCCCGTCCCACTCTCGGGAGCAGCTGGGGGCTGCTGGGTCACCCGCGATGCGCCGCAAGCCGGTGACTGTAGGAGGCCCGCGGCACTCCCGCGTCTGCAACACCCTCCCTCCTCCACCAGCTTGGGGCGGAGGCGCGGGCAAGGGGCGCTAGGGGCGCGATGGAGACCTGAGGAGCTCCGCGGGTGCAGCGAGGGGCAGGACCTGGGACTGCTCTGGGCGCGCTGCGTTCCCTCCGGGGTGCAGGGGGGTCACCCCAGGACTGTCATCCCTGGGTCTGGCTCCCGCCCGGCCTCAGGTGTCTCTGGTCCGTCCCTCCTCGCCGCAGGCGCAGCCCAGTCTCCGAGTCCGCGGGAGGCGAGCTCGGCTTTGATCCCTCGGTTATATGCCCTGCTCTCCACCAGATGGCCTCAAATACAATCCCGAGCGCCCTTGGCCCTTGAGAAAGGAACCCAGAGGAAGGGATGGGAGACCAGACTGCTGCCGGCGCTCAGCCCAGAGGGAACCCACAGACTTAGGAGAGGCGGCCTGTGTGCCCTGGTGGCTTCTCTGGCTTCCTTGGTGGGGGCGGCCACTCCCTCTCCGCCCCCGCAATGAGGTCGTCTAGTTTCGTCCCAGGCTGGGTGGGGACTGTGTGTTTTTTCCTCAGACTGTAAGCCTTGGGGGAGGGGGTGTGCATATGGGTACATTGGCACTGTGCTGGCACCAAAGAGCTAAATAAAATGTTGAATTTTCTCATTCCTAGATCACTGTCTGCCCTCACCCTTCTTGGTGCCCCTTTCTCACTCCCGAAACCAGTCCAGAGTACTTGCTGGGAGGGTATGTGGGGTACGCTGTTAGCTCAAAGATTCAATGAACTTTTTTTTTTTTTTGCCTCAGGTTTTGCTGTCTCCCAGGCTGGAGTGCAGTGGTGTGATCCTTCCTCACTGCAACCTTCACCTCCTGGGTTCAAGCGATTCTCCGGCCTCACCCTCCAGGGTAGCTGGGATTATAGGCACACACCACCATGCCCACTAAATTTTGTATTTTTAGAGAGTCCAGGTTTCACCATGGTGGCCATGCTGGTCTCATACTCCTGACCTCAAGTGGTCTGCCCACCTTTGCTTCCCAAAGTGCTGGAATTACAGACATGAGCCACCTCACCTGGCCTCAATAAACTTTTTGTCTCACTCTGTCACCCACGCCGGAGTGCAGTGGCCCAATCTTGGCTCACTGGAGCCTCAACCTCCTCAGCTCAACTGATCATCCCACCTTGGCCTCCCTAGTAGCTGGGACTACAAACACACACCACTGCACCCTGCTAATTTCTGTAATTTTTGTAGAGACAGAGTTTCATCACGTTGCCCTGGGTGGTCTCGAACTTCTGAGCTCAAGCTATCTGCCCAACTTGGCCTCCCAAAGTGTTGAGATTACAAGGGTGAGGCACCATGCCTGGCCTCAGTGAACACAGGGAGGGCAGTATATGTGGGGACTCTCCAGAGGAGGGGCCAGAGTCCCAGAGTTGAAGTACACAAGCTTTACACCTGTAGGGGTGGGAGGAAGTGGGGAAGAAAGACACACAGCAGATGCTCCACAGTGAGGCAGGTGCTATGTCAGAGGTGTGCACACTCCGGGCTGTCCTGGGAGCCTTCCAGCCCACTGGGGAGGCGTTTACTGGTTCCCTGACATGGGATTGCTTGGGGAGTCTTGGCTGACGGTGCAGATACTGAGATGGGTGTGTGGGGGGCGGAGGCTGTGCTGTGGAGCTGTCCTGACTTAGGCTGCCCAGCGCCTTCTCCAGACAATGTCATGGGGCTGAGGAGGGAGAAACCTAATTTTGGCATGAGGGGGTCACTCTGCAGTTGGAGGTTCCATAGTGAAGTCTACCCCTTCCTTACCTCTGTGGCCCCAGGCTTGAAACCTTCCATCCTGTCTCCCTCTCCCACTGCCCCGCCCCCCTCCCAGGCCTGTGTGTAGATTCTTCTCCCCACCCCCCACCCCCGCCCTCCTCAGGGGACAGATTGGGAAGTCACTGACTGGGCTGGATGGAATGACAGCTGCCTGGCCTCCGGAGCTCAGGCCCAGCAGCAGGGAGCCAGGGAGCCGAGTGGAAGCTAATTTTACATGCTGGGAGCAAGGAGAGTAATCCTTCTACCCCCATTCCTGCCCCCGCCCCCCACCCCCCGCTGGCTCAGCAGGGCAGGCTCAGCCGACAGCCTCAGCCAGCCCAGTCCCCAAGGCGGGGGCATTGGGGACGCAGGGAAGAGAAGGCACTGGGGTGGGGGAGCAGGAGAAAGCCAGGTTACCGGGGAGCCATGGAGCCGTCCTCACCCCAGGATGAAGGCCTGAGAAAGAAACAGCCCAAGAAGCCAGCTCCTGAGATTCTGCCAAGGCCACCCCGGGCCTTGTTCTGCCTAACCCTGCAGAACCCCCTGAGGAAGGCCTGCATCGACATCGTGGAGTGGAAGTATCCTTCAGGGTCTGGGCGGCGGGGGAGTGTGTGTCATGGGGGAAGGATGTGGGGTAGTCACAGAGCACAAACTTTCTACAGCAAGGCCAGGGAGACCCAGAACTTAGATATGGGGTGAACCCACAGAATGGAAGCCTGGGAAGGAGTCCTCGGCTTAGCAGGAGAGGAGGAGGAAGAGGAGAAGGAGGAGGAGGAAAAGGAGGAGGAAGAAAAGGAGGAAGAGGATGAGGAGGAAGAGGAGAAGAAAGAGGAGGACTTGGTGGGAGCATTTGGTGGGTCTTCCTGGGCCTTAGTGGGCCTCCCAAGTCCTGTGTGACAACCAGAGACACCTACTGACCACCTATGGGTGGGGCCTGTTTCATGGGGACTGTTCTCAGGTGTGCCCAAATCCACATTACCATGAGGTGCCACTAGGTTTTTGAAGCACCAGCCTCATTTTGGAATAGCATAGGGACCCAAAAAAGACACGATGACCTCTTTGAGATAACTCCCTTGATTGGGTTGGGAGGGAGGTGACAGTAGAGAGGTGAGTGGAAGGAAGGCTTCCTCTGGGGGCGCGTCCCAGCTGAGGACAGAGCCAAGGGGAGAAGGGCCTGCAAGACGCCCGCCCGGAGTGGCTCCAGATGCAGGCCAAGCAAGCATGGCTGTTCTAGCTCAGACAGGCCACCCTGGGGACAGGGACTTTGAATCCCATGCTGTGTTTTCCTCTGCTCTGGGAGGAGAAATGATGAAAATATCTGGGTTATTTGGGGAAGGGAGGAAGGAGTGGCCGAGAGAGGGAGAGGCCTGTTTCCAGTGGGATCTGAGAGCAAGGGTCGGGCATATCTGAAATATTTCCGAGGAGCTCTGGAAGTCTGGGTGCCCACCAGCTGTTCCTAGAAGGAGAGAGAATGAGGGATAACCGGAAGGACAAGGGAAACATGGGGCAAGTGGAGATAGTTTGGGGTTAGGGTCAGCCCCGCTCCCCTCACCTGCTCTCAGCCAGGTCGGTGGATTGCCCGCATCAAACCCTGGGTGCTCCTTCCCTGCCTCTCTTCTGCAATCGGGTTTACCCTGTGGCTTCTCCCTCTCCTCCACCCTCTGCTCCTCTGAGCCTTGCCCTCTCATAGCCCCCTGTGGCCCTCCTCTTTTCTCAAACATTGGAGGTTACTGGGAAGAGAATGGGGTGTTTCTGTCAAGCTCATCTACATAATATGCCTCCCCATTCGCGCCCTGACAACCCCTTTGCTTCCTCCCTTGCTTCATCTAGTTCTTTTCACACTTGTCATCTGATGGGTCAGAAAGTTAAGAAAGCCCTGGGGTGCCCTCTGGAAATGGCCGTGGCAGGGTAGGTGTGTCTGGGAGGGGTGAGGTGTGACGGGTTTGAGCACGTGCACACCAGCAGGGGCACGTGGCTCCGGAAATTCAGCTTTCACCTCCCCATCCTTCGTTCCCAGTCCTGCTGGGTGAGTTCTCAACCTTACCCTACATCAACCCTTACCCTCCCGTGCCATTTCTCTGGGTGAGCCCCTGCAGATTGGCCAGAATCTGAGAAAGTCATAGCTCCTTGGGAGCAGAAGGGCGTGGGCAGGCACTGAGAGTGGAGCGGTGTGAAGACCCCCTAGGCCTTCAAGCTGAGGAGCCCTCAGCCAGGTACCAGACCTTTGCCATTCCAAAGCATCTACGTGGAAGTGACTTGCTCCTGAGGAAAGGGAGCCAGATGTCCAGGCGGGAACCTGGTCCTCGCTGTACCCTGCCAGGAGCTGAGGGAAGGAGCAGTGTGGACGAGTGTCCAAGAAAGAGCCTGTCCACCAGCCTGGTATCAGTCACAGTCCAGGCCCTCAGCTCCCTCTTCCCCTTAACCCTGTAAGTCCCGTGCCTCACTCAAGAGCTCTCCTTAACCCTGGCTCCAGGCCCTTCGAGACGATCATCTTGCTCACCATCTTTGCCAACTGTGTGGCCCTGGCCGTGTACCTGCCCATGCCCGAAGATGACAACAACTCTCTGAACCTCGGCCTGGTAAGACTGGCGCTTCCATCCCGCTTCCTGCGGGCCTGCAGTCCCAGGCTCGGGGAGGCCCCCTTGGTGGACTCTGTTCCGGTTGATGGTGCTGGTGGTTGACCTCCCTGAGGAAGCAGGCCCGAGTCCCCAGCCTCCTGCAGGGCTGGCTGAGTGGCTCAACAGATTTCAAGGATCAATCTGCTTATTCCTGATTCTGAGATATTGCCAGCCAGCACTGAGCACGCACTAACTGGTCCCAGTCACTGTGCTAACACCTTATGAGAGCAAACTCATTCAATCCTCACACCCACCTCATAAAGTGGCTCCATTTGGCAGATGTAGAAACTGAGGCTTTGTAAGGTCAGCTAGTGAGCCACAGAGGTTGAATGCTAATTTCCCTTGTCCAGATGTAATTCAGAAGAAACTTGCATCCATTGAATTTGCCTTCATGGGAGAGTTTTATCCAGGAATCTAAAGCGAAACATGTTTTAGAGTTTTGTAATACCACTTACTCTTTACCCCTTCATCAGCAACGCATGCCTGGAACCGTAAAATGCCAGGGCTGGAAGGAACTTTCAAAAGTTAGATTGTCCTACCTCCTTCCCACCTCATTCTGTTTTATGGATAAGAAAACTGAGACCTAGAGAGGTTCAGGGACTTACTTACCCAACGGCCAATTAATAATAAAAACGGTTAATGTTTAGTAAGTGCTTATTAAATGCCAGGATTTGTGATAAATATTTTACATTATTGTATTATTTAATCCCCAGGACTACTCCTGTGGGGTAAGAAACATTATTAGACCCATTTAAAAGACAAGAAGACTGATGTTGAGAAAGTTTAGGTGCATTGCCCAGGGCCGCCCCACATCTAAGCCTTGTCTCGTAGGGCCTCCAGCGTGGTCTCTCCAACTTTAGAACCTGCTTTTAAAAAAAAAAAAAAAAAAAAAAAAAGAGTCTCACTCTGTTGCCCAGGCTGGAGTGCCATGGTGTGATCTCAGCTCACTGCAACCTCCGCCTGCCAGGTTCAAGGGATTCTCCTAGCTCAGCCTCCCAAGTAGCTGGGATTAGAGGTGACCACCACCAAGCCCAGCTAATTTTCATATTTTTAGTAGAGATGGGATTTTGCCATGTTGGCCAGGCTAGTCTTGAACTCCTGGCTTCAGGTGATCTGCCTGCCTCAGACTCTCCAAGTGCTGCGATTACAGGCATGAGCCACCGCACCTGTCGAGAACCTGCTATTGTACAGGCTGTGTTGCCAAGGTGGTGGGTAATGACAGAAAGACTTCTAGGGGAAGCC